ACAGATTGCAAAGTGGGGTTTCTCCCGCTATTGCAATGGGAAGGAAAGCTGTGCTGCACCTACATGATGGGCCAGGACTGGCAGCTAAAAGCTCCAAACTTGGATCCGAGTGTCTTAGTGCGCAGACGTCCTTTGCACGACTAGCGCGTTGACTTCTGGGTAATGTAGTTCTTGCGAATATTCACGCGAGGTGCCCCTTAAAAAGACTATCGGCTTCATAGTCGACGAGGCGTGCAACTAGATATGCAGAGGAGGCATCTACCTGGAGGCAATCGATAGATTTCGTTGAATACTTTGATCTCCACTATCATTGCAAAAGGGAAACGGCGGCTCACCGACTTCTCTTCTGTAATCCAACGGCGGCTAAAGAGGCAGCATTGGGAGCCGACTTCGCCTGCAACCACGTTGCAAGATCTCCTATCTAGCAGTTGGCAGTTTCAAAACGAGACGAGTTGCCGTGCTGGAAGGAAGAGACGGAGGCACGTTGAGTGGTACAGCCGGCTGGTCTGAATCCGCCATCGGCCAGTTTCCCACGATGGACCTCCGCGAACGCTTTTCCCTTCCGCAGCTACCGTTACTTAAATAAATACAGGATGGCAAAACTTTGAGGGGGAGGGAGGGGGGAAATCTTCAACAAACATTTTGTAAAGTTTACGTCTTGCTTGCGACGTGGGTTTCTACGGATTACAACTCATTTCGGATTGCCGTGGAGGATGGTTTATATGGCTAGTCATGATCTTTGGATCATAGTTTTCTGAGTTTTCTTCATACTGTACTTTCACATTTATTTTTAATAATGTCATCAGTAGCCTCAAGGGGACTAACACGGTATAAAGCCCTGCTCATTATATCCTTCCCCTCTAAATTGCCAAGAATATTTCTTAGGATGCTGTATACAGTCAAAATGAAAATCTAAAATTCATTTGTAGATTGCATTGTTTTATATGATTAAAGGAATAGAGCTAGTCTTTGATTTAGAACCATTCGTTTAGTGACTGTTCAAAGTTACAACAGCACCACCACCACCCCAAAAATGACTTTATGATCATTTTTCACAGTTTCAACATCCCCATGGTCATGTGATAAAATTCAGGTGCTTGACATATTTATGATGCAGTTTCATAGGGTCATCTTCTGAGAAGCCAAGTCAACGGGGAAGCCAGATTCACTTTACAACTGTATTACTAATTTAATGACTGCAGTGATTCATTTAACTGGCAAGAAAGGTCGTAAAAGGGGGCAAAATTCAGTTAACAAATATCTCGATTAGCGGAGGAAATTTTGGGCGCCATTGTGGTTGTAAGTCGAGAACTTAAATAAACTTATGTTTTTTAACTCACTTCCATTTGTGAAATGACTTATTTATCAGATAGTTAGACTGTTTGGCATTTTCATTTACCTACCAAGGCATGCCCAAGGACCTGGGATGGGGAGATATTGCTGTTTGATGATATTAAAGATAGTGTTGCAAGATCTCAGCTGTTCCAAAGAGAGCTGCTTTTTGAAATTGATACTTTCATCAATGTAAAGTCAATATCTCTATGACTCAAGGATAAAAAAGAAATTTATTTTTTTTAAATAGGAAGGGAAAACCATTGCACCAGAAAACAAAAACCAATAAGGAACTTTAAAAGATTAGTATAATAATACTGATTTTACAGTTAACGGTAACTGTTTCTAAACTATCTTAAGAAGCATGCAAGATGAATATGGGACTCTGAAGAGCAATTCACGAGAAAATAGAATATCCCTGCACCACAGATTTCCCCCACACACATACACATGTATATTAATCTAAATTGCTCAAAAATGGTTGCTTAAAAATAGGAGAAAAACTATTGAAAAGTGGGTCCCTTCATTCCAAGTACTGGTAGTCCTTGACTTATAACCATTTGTTTAATGACCTCCAAAGTTAAAACAGCACTGAAAAAAGTGACATGACATTTTTCACATTTCTGACTTTTTTCACATTTCTGACTGTTGCAGCATCATATGATCAAAATTTGGGCACTTGGTAACTGGAATGTATGATGGTTGGCAGTGCTTGGGGGAGTGGGGTATCATGTGATCACCTTTTGCAACTTGACCAGCAAAGTCAATGGGGAAGCCAGGTTCACTTAATAACTGTGTTCTAACTTAACAGCTGCAGTGATTCACTTAACAAAGGTTGTAAAATGGGGCAAAACCTACCGGTATTTAACATCTCTTCTCATTTTACAATGGATAATGGTGACTTGTTTAATGGCAGGAAAGGAACTCATCTTGATAATCCATTGTAATAATACGGTCTTCCAAATTACCATGATGATTAGCAACTGAGTTGGCTGGTCCCAATTGTTGTCACTAAGCAAGGATTGGCTATGTTTATTTTGCTGTAAACCAGCTAAAGTTATTTAAGATGATATAGCAAGCATATTTTGTAAAAGGAGAAAAAGGGGGAGGAGGAAGATAGTGTTGATTTGATTTGAGCCGCAATTGTCCCTTACTAAGAGAACCTCAAGTTACACTCCATGTAATGGAGTGAGCTCCCATTACTTGTCCCAGCTTCTGCCAACCCAGCAGTTCGAAAGCACATAAAAATGCAAGTAGAAAAATAAGAACCACCTTTGGTGGGAAGGTAATAGGACTTCAGTGCACCTTTGGCGTTTTGTCATGCCAGCCACATGACCACGGAGATGTCTTCGGACAGCACTGGGTCTTCAGCTTTGAAACGATGAGCCCCACCCCCCTAGAGTCGGGAACAACTAGTACATATGTGCAAGGGAAACCTTTACCTAAGAGAGCCAGTGTGATGTAATAAATTAGAGCAGGGGTCCCCAACCCCTGGCCCGATAGTAGGAAGCCGGCTGTCTAAGCAGCAGATGACCACACAAAGCTCCATTTGTACAAGCAGCAGGTCCATATGTGAAACCATCTCTCTCACGGCCAGTCCATGAAACCAGAAAAGTTGGGAACCGCTTAGATAGAGTAAAGAGCTCTAGATTTCATCCCAATCTCTTCAAGGAAACCCACTAAGCAATTCACCCAACCTACCTGACAGGGTTGTTGGGGGAGGTCTAGGAGGAAGTGCTCTATATATCCCCTTGTGTTTCTATAAACTAATAATTTAAAATAAAATGAGTTATGAAGCAAAATTGCAAAGAATACAAAAACAGATCTTACCATTATTAAGTATATAGATAAAACAGTCGAGAAAAATAATGTTGAGTTCTATTTTTGTAATGTATTTTATTTTTTAATATACAATTTTCTATTGGAAGAGATAGGCATACCAGAAATGTATCTGGCAGAATTATAGACAATATTATCAAAGGACGCCTAAAATATACCTCAACCTTACATCAGCTTCAGATATAAAGTGTCTATGATGCAATAATTATCGAATTAAGTCATGGTTCCTGCTACAGATTTCCTTCACTGTGTTCTCAAAACATTCAGGCTTCCAAATTTTCTGCTCAAGCAATATTTTTAATAGTTAGGCAATAAATCACAGAAGTTAAATGTTTATTATGGAAATGCTGACAAACCAATAGTCGAGTGGCAGTATAATATATAACCATGGCTGTAATCTAATGAACGGTGGAGTTTGTCTCCTTAAAGCCATGGAGGATATCCCTGGCAGAAATGTGTAGGTAAAACACTTCAGAAGACCTATATAGACTGTGTCTCTTCTTTTCCTTGAAGACATTTTGGAATTCTCCTGTTTCAGCTATTTGCAAAACACATCAGGTCTGCAGAAATCTTGGACCAAATCAGTTGTATGGCATCATACAATATATGGATCATCTATTCTAAACTACAGTGCATTGGGAAAACCATTAAACCACCCAGGCAGATAGCTATCCAGCCTATTTAAAAAATCTCCAGTGAGGGAGAACCTATCAATGTTTAGGCAAACTATTTTACTGCATCGCTGTTTAAAAAATCAGAAAACTCAATCTGATGTTTCCTTCTTTTAATTGGTTGTCTTGTCTTCATATGTGTGTGTCTGTGACTGTGTGTTCCAGCATAACTCTGGAACATCTCAAGCAATTTCAACCGAACTTGGTACACAGATGACTTACTCTCTGGGGAAAAAAATACTGTGTGGGTAAAATACCCCTAACAGCCCTCGGTGTGTGTGTTCTATTAAGATACAGCCTGTTGTGCCATAAAATGGCTTCTACTGTACAGCGCAATGGAATTGCCATGGTAATGGCTTCACAGTACTCCACAAAGGGGCTCCCTCTGGTAAGGAGGAAAATCCAACATTAGACATTACGTTTGGTCAGGACATTTTCCCCCTATAAATAAATCCCCATGCAA